CGTGCTCCTCGGCACCTCAGTTGGTGCTGGCGGGTTTGCTCACAGTTGTCACTGGCAATCGCATGCGCCAACTCTTCTCTGCTCCTTTTTAGTGTCGCATTTTCTTATTGATTGACGGACGCCATTCTGTCCGGCGTGCTACTTTGATTGGATTGTGTGGGACTGCTTGCCAACGCCATCGGAGAAAACAGGCCAACTTTTTCACGTATTTAATTGCCACCTCGCGCGCAGGTATTTTTTTCACATGTTCTGTTGATGTGTACTCAAGTAGCGAGGAATCCGGAACTATGCGTGCGTGGAATTATTCCTGCCATGTGAGCTGCGGGCAACACCGAGGGACTGCCACTTTGACTCCGCAGAGTTGTTGCGTCTCTTTGCAGGGCTGGCAGGAAAATTCCATGCAGCCAGCTACTGCTGGTGTGTCCTCAAATGATGTCACTCCATGCGAATAATGTGCTTCATCGAGTGAGGGTGTTGATTGGGTTTGTGTGCACTCTGATTGTGTTTGCTACTTTGTGCGGGCACGCAACACTTGAGTGCTGGGAGAATGGAGCGGGGCGATGCATGGCTGCGTCTCGCCCATTGTTCACTGCACGGTGGTGTGGTGCACATTGTGGTGTTGACTCTGCGATGTGACTGCGGTCCCCTGCGCGGCAATGGTGGTGGGTGGAGGAGAGTGTTGACCCGCGGCGGGACGGTGGGATCGTGCCTCCTTTTCTCTTTGTTCCTTCCCTTTTGTGAAGGTGTGCACTTATTTTTTGTGTCGGTGATGGAGCAAACAGACCGACAACGTGAATAAAACAAAATAAAAATGGGCGATAATGTGGCGGTGTTGGGGTTGGTTGCACGCCTCGTGTTGCTGCGGGGGCGGTGGGCCTCGGCTGCTTCACCGACAGGCGTTGCAGTGCGGCTGCATGGCGCACTGACCGCCCCGCCGTGCGAGTGCCACGCCCAACGCCATTGGGACTGCGGGACGAAACAGACGCGAGTGTCCTTTGGAGCCCGCGGCACCTGCTGGCCGCAGTTGGGCGGTGCGAGTGGGATGCTTCACCGCACGGGTGTTGTGATGGCACCTCGCCGTGGCTCTTGTGATGGTTCCGACGCTGCAGCTCGACATGTGGTGGGGAGTGAAGTGTGGCCGCAGTGGACCATGAGCAGCACCAACGTGAGGCTGAGTGATTTCCTTTGGAATTATGTTGGCGGCAGGGCGGCCGTTGATGAAAGACTACAATGTGACGATGGAGATGTTTGTTCAGGAGCCGGATGATTACGTACAAGACCAGCGGCTTCTTGAAGAAATTCTTAACTTAACTGCGTACCAAGCGCTGGAGGCCATTACTAAGCCTCTTCACGAAGGTGTGCTTTCTCTCGGGCAACGTAGGGACTATGAAAGAAAGGATACGATCACTCCTCTTGCAAGGGGAAAACCAAACGGGGTACTCACGCAGGTACTGACAGAAGCGAGGCGGGAGGCAGAGGGAAGGCTAAGACGAACGCAAGAAATGAAATTTACCATTTCCACTAATATCGAAGATGTACATTTTAAGGGAAGAGTTCGCGTCAATGAAATGAAGCTGAACGACTTTCTTACGAGGGAACTGGACGGCAGGGGCGTTGTGGACACCAATCGGGATGTCTTGCTGGAGGAGTTTTTCAAGGACCCCACGAAGTATATCCGTGATAAAGGAGCATTGAACGAAATACAGGCATCAGGTCATTATTTGGGTATGAAGCGAGCTGTAAAGGGTGAAGTGATCTTCGATGGGGATATACGCAAGCTTTGCGATAAGGGTGTCAACAATCTACCGGGGTGGTCGTTAGCTGCTGCGGAGGTAAAAGCAGCTGTTCGTAACTCCACTAAACGTTTCTTGGATGCAGCTGCCGAGGAAGCGAGGAACCCAACGATGACGAGCGCACCGGAGAAACTGGAGGGATGCTACAAGTCTGTGCACAATGCGAGGTGGAGCCATGCGGTGGAACTTCCGGACGGCGTGGAGCGAAAGAAAACGAGGACGGGAATGGGGGTGCATGAGGGGAGGCCAGAACAGTCATGGACGTACAAGAAAGCTGACGACGCTATCGAAAAGAATGACGCTGTGCAGCAATTCGGTGCAGCACCTCCCGCGTTGATGGTGCTCGCCTCGGAGAAGGGATGGCCGTACTCGCGGAATACGATGCAGGATCCTCCTAAGGACGTTTTTGTAAACTGTGAGGTGGATCGAGTGTGGCAGATCGTCAAGGGCGATCTAACCGCGTGGCTCAGCCCTCACGGTGGGACCGACTTTAAGCCCGAGCGACGTGTGTTGATTGGGACGCCCGGGATCGGGAAGTCGGTGGCTGTCGGCTCGTACCTCCTCTACCAGCTGCCGCACGACGATGCCGAGAAAATCCAAGTGGCAATCCACTGTTTTGGTGGAGGAGATGCGTACGTGTTTGACAAGACCACCAGAGCGGTGACAAGATACGGCGATGAGGACATGTGCATCTCGGAGTTGAGAAGTTTGAGGGGGCATGGGAGGAATGTGTATATTATCTACGATGTGGCGAAGGAGGGAACGCCGCCACCGAGACATTTTGCGCCTACTTCTGGATGGGGCATGATTGCGGTGTCATTCCCAAAGGTAACCAACTATGATGAGTGGGCGAAGCAACTACAAGCCGCGCGAACCATCGCGAATTGCCCCGACGAGATGGATGTGAAGGCGATGTGCGCCTGGATAACGCGTGATGAGACTAAAGAGAAACAAGCGGAATACTGGAAAGAGGTCAAAAAACACATGTATCTTTTGGGACCGATTCCACGTCACGTCTTTGATGAGGAGGCGTTTACGGAACGCTGCGGAGCGGTGAGGTTTGCATTGCAATCGATCAAAGAGGTAACTGTGAAAGAGTACTTTTCACGGGGAGGTGAGTCGCCATGGTATTCTGAGGATCCGTCCCACAAGCCTGTGAAAGTTGTTCGGGAAATATACGCAGGCGGTGTGATCCTTTTCAATGCACCGATATCTGATTGCTTCGAGGAACGGGCATTGGAACGTTTCCCAAGTGTAACAAAATAAAATAGCTTTTTGAAGCTGATGTTGGCGTCGAAGGATAATATTTTGCCAATGTTTTTTGGATGGTTTGCTTTGAAATCGTTCACGGAGAGTGCCTTTGTCAAGACAATAGGGACGAAACTCACGGAGTTTGAGCCGCCAACAGGACGTCAAGCAAAGCCCTGCGTCTTGAAGTTGGCCCCTGAACCGCATCCCAAGGAAGATGAAGGTTTGCTGCCGAATGAATATGAAAAAACGATCCGTAAAATAAATTACGGGGTGCTGTGCAAACCGTGGGCCACAAACTTTCCGCTGGTGGACGCCTTTTTTTCTCGGAGTCCAATCCAATGACGCTGGTTGGGCTGCGGATGACTACGACGGGTGGGCACCACGCGACCGCCAGCACTGTGCGGCAGTTCACTGAGTGCGTGGCGGCATATTTTAGTGGTTGGGAGGAGTTATCCCGAGACATGTCGTGGGAGATTATTTACGTGCAGCACCCAGACAGCACGCCGATGACTGGCAGAGATGTGATGTCGACAATTCCAATAATGCGAGCGACGAGAGCCGTGAGACTCGGTGTTCTGGGAGGAAGAGGTGCGCGAGTACCAAGTGTCAATATCGTGCAGAGACTTTAGAAGAGACGAAGCTTTCCGAAGTGTGCAAAAAAATAATAATAATAGGAAAATAGATTAGGAAATTGGAAGTGAACGAGACAGTTCGATTTGTGGTAAAAAATATTGTGGGATTTATGTATTTTTGGATGCTTGTGTCTGAGCATGCGGTGCAGGTGCACCAGCCCCAAGCAGCAGCACCGTACACAAATGCCAAAATGTCCAACGCTATCGAACATAACAGTGACAAAAGAAATTAGGGAGGGAGTGGGGTTGTTTGGTTTCTGGTAGAAAAACATTGGGTGATTTTTATATGTTATTTTGATTGTGTGCGCATACGAGGCGTAATTGGAGAATTGCCCCGGTATGAGAGAATCATTGTGGTTGGCGGTGTCACGGCGTTACTGCATTGTCCATTTCCTTCTATTGTGTTCGAAAGCCCATCACTAACAGAAGCATCCTTAAGGGATGGACGAAGAATAAGTTCTATTGAGGAAATGATGCGCTCCGTGTGACCGCATGGAGTGAGGCTCCGTGTCATGGCTGGGTGAGGATCCGCTTCCTCGTGTGGCTCTTTGGGTGATTGCTAGCTCCGTGTGCGTTGTGTGCCGGCAGCTGGCTGTGGCTGTATACCGTTGGCCGTGGGATTGAACTGGAGGCGGTGGCGGTGTGCCTCTTCTCGTTTTTGTCCATTGGTGGTTGATTGCTGGCGGTGTGTGCGTTTGTTGTGTGGAGGGCCGAATCCTCTCACCCGCGGACTGACGGCACTGCGATGGTGTGTGTGTGTGTGAGGGCTGGTGTGGAGTCGCTGGCCAGGGCGAGGGCCTTTGGCGATGCTTTTCCCGCCTGTCTTTTGTTCCTTCCGTGTGTTTGTGCTGCTTCTTGCTCTTTTCCCCTCTCACCCTCTTTTTCTGTTTTCCTGCGTGGAGTGGCCGCATGCTCACGGGCCATGTTGATTGTGAGTGCCTCTTGGCGGCATCCATCCATCTCCCTCTCTCCCTCCGCCTGTCTGTCTGTCATTCCCTGTTGGGTGTGGCGTGTTGCACCGCGTGAGGGCTGGCCCGCAAACACCGACGGCCCGCCGTGACTTGCCGTGTTGCAGCTCTTTTCTGTGGGCGATGGTTCTCCGTGCCGTCCCTTCGGATTGTCTCGTGCCCCGCTCTCTGCGTGGGTGCTCTGCTCTGCTCCTCACTGACCTTTCTGGTTTATTGCCGCTGTTGCTACTGTACTCTCCACTTCTTGAACACAGACACGCTAGGAAAGAAAGAAAACAAGCGCTAATCGCCACTGTGAAATTCGAAGGCACTGAAAGGAACAACATCACACACACCGCCCACACACACATATTTCTATGGTCTCACGTGTTGCTGCAGTGAAGGCACCCCGCACACACAACCGTCGCCGCGTGACCGGATCCAGCGGAAGGAGGAGGGAAGGAAGAGAGAGTGAGCCGCAGAGGCCCAACATGTCCCGGCGTTTGCTTGATTCTACGGTGCTGCTCCTATTTTTCGTGATGATGTGCTGTGGCAGTGGAGCTGCGACCGCTCAGGTGGAAAATAATGCTGTTGCTTCAACTCCTTCTGGGTCGGCATTGACGAGTGCCATTACTGCAGAGGGGAGTGCTTCAGGGGGTGTTGAGTTGCCGCAGGGAGTCGATCTATTTGTGGCGCAGACGACGCAGGTGCAGCCGAAGAAGGGGACTGACTCAAGTCGGAGGGATTCATTTGTTTCACCCTCTCTCGTCAGTGCTGGTGGAGTAATTGCTGCTTTTGCCGAGGGTCACATAAATGCCAAAAACTCCCATAACGAATCAACTAAGCCGTCTTCTGATGTTGTTGCGGAGTACATCGACTCTGCGTGGGAATGGCCCACTCTTGTTGGTGAGGTCGGTAACGAAACATGGAGGGCACACACTGTGCTTGGTAAAGCGGAGGGAAAGGAGAGATTGGATGTTGTGCACCACCCCACAACCACCACGAAGGGCAATAAGGTGTTTCTTCTTGCGGAAGGCTCTGATGTGTCCTACGAAGGTGGGAGTTGGAATGAGGGCAGATTCGAACTAAAACTGGTTGTGGGTGAGGTCACGAATTCCACGGGCGGCAAGCAGAGTGAACGGATCGAATGGGGCGACCCCGAACCACTCCCGAAATCGGTCTCTTCTGCTTCTCACAAAGGTGGATTGACGGAGTTCATTGCTTCCGGTGGCGCAGGTGTTCTGATGGAGGATGGCACTATTGTGTTTTCTCTGATGGCGAAGAATGGAGCAGAAGGCGTTTGCTCCATGATCATTTACTCGAAGGACAACGGCAGTACCTGGGTGTTCCCAGAAGACACTTCGCATCCGAAATGCGAGACACCCCGCATCACCGAGTGGGAGGGATCACTTCTCATGATTGTTGATTGCGAGAATGGCCAGAGGGTGTACGAGTCGCGGGACTTGGGGACAACGTGGACGGAGGCCATCGGGACACTCCCAGGCGTGTGGGTCAACTCAGGATCGGGAGCCTCTCAGGATTTAAGCCTGCATGTGGATGCTCTCATCACCGCGACCATTGAGGAAAAGAAGGTCATGCTGTACACACAGAGAGGGTACGCCTTGGGGGAAACGGAAAGGGTCACTGCGCTCTACCTTTGGGTGACGGACAACAACCGCTCGTTTTCTCTTGGACCGGTTGGCATGTACAATGCTGGGAAGGAGGAGCTCGCCAGCAGCCTGCTGTACTCGGATGGCAAGTTGCATCTTTTACAACGGAGGGTCAGTGGTGAAGGCCGTGTCATTTCACTTTCCCGCCTGACGGAGGAACTGAAGGAAATTGAGTCCGTCCTCAGTACTTGGGCGCAAAAGGACGCCTTCTTCTCCAGCTTTTCTATACCCACGGCGGGTCTGGTGGCAGTTTTGTCAAACGCATCGGCCAACAATGACACGTGGGACGACGAATACCGTTGCCTGAATGCAAAGGTGAAGGATGCGACGAAGGTCAAAGATGGGTTTCAGTTGACGAAGCCTGGCTCCGGGGTAATGTGGCTTGTGAACATTCCGGATGATAAAGTACGTCATGTATTTTTGAGCCACAACTTCACACTTGTGGCGTCGGTGACCATCGAAGAGGCTCCGAGCGAGAAAACTCTACTGACTGCGGTGCTGGCGAACACTGAGCCCCAATATATCATGAGACTGTCGTACACCGCGGATAAGACGTGGGAGACAATTTTCAAAGGCGAGACAAAACCAACAACGGAAAGCAGGCATTGGGTGCCGAAGAAAGAACACCAAGTGGCACTCATGCTGCAAGGCAACAAGGCCTCTGTGTACATTGATGGCGAGTCGCTGGGGGAGGAAGAAGTGCCGTTAACAGGTGAGACACCACTTGAGCTTTTTGGGTTTTGCTTTGGCGCGTGCGACTTCGGTGATGATGGTGATGATGATGATGAGGAGGCCAGTCCGGAGAAGCCCAGTCCGAAGGGGATCGGCAAAAAACCTCGTGTGACGGTGACGAACGTCTTTCTGTACAACCGCCCACTGAATTCCACTGAGATGACCGCAATCAAGGACAGGATCCCCGTTCCGAAGAGAGCTCCAGAACCACAAGTGAAAATTGCTCCCAAACCTGTCGCACCTGCTTTACCTGCTGTGCCTGGCCCACGGGAAGTACCAGCAGCACCGGGGAGGACAACTGTGGGGAGAACCGCCAATAACCAACATGCGCCAGCGGGACGCTTGACTTCTGCTGGGAATGAAGGGACGGCACGAGAAAAGGGTGATGGTGGGGCAAATGGTGATGCTGGTTCCGCGTACGGGAGGGTGCTGCTGCCGCTGCTGCTTCTGCTGGGACTGTGGGGCTTTGCGACTGCGTGAGGAGTGTGGGGCACTTGCGCCCTCTTCCACACCGACGCACATCCGGTAATGAATTACTCTCCGCAATTTCTTTTTTTTGTGATTCCGTTTTTTTTCTCTCCCCCTAATTTTTTGCTTGTTGCCTTGGGGCAATCACTATGGACGTTTTTTCTTTTTCTTTTTTTTTTATGGTTTAATTTGCTTAAATTTTTAGTTTTTATTTTTCATCCCCCATCCCTTCTATTTTTCGCTTTTGGGGGCAATTAATAAGGAAGTGATTTTTTCTTTTCTACTCTTCCCTTTTTCAATTGTTTCTTCTGCACTCTTCCTGTGAGGGGTGCCGTGTGTTTCCCGCCCAACCGCTCCACTCGCACACCCACCGACACGCTCATGACGACGGCCCTGTGCGCCTCGCCTGCTGCACGCGTGTGGAGGGGCCGCGACGAACGGCGCGCTGAGGGAGCCGTGACGTGTGGGCGTGCGACGAGGGCCTGTGGGGCGGAGCACACATTTCTTCCCCTCTTGTTTTGTTTTTATTGCGGCCAGGGCGGGCAGACACCCGCAGCGCCACACACACACAGCCACACCCTGCCGCCGTGTTTTTAAGGATTTTTTCTTTGCTTTGCGTGTGCATTTCATGCGCCGGCACACCCTTCGGTGTCGGCCTCGTGAGCATTTCTTTTCCCTTCTGATGATTTTTTCTTTTGCTGCGCTCACTCTCCCGATGGAGTGACGCGACTCCCGTCATGTCTGCGTGCTTCTCTCAGTCCCCACACACACGAGTGACTGTGCTCTGCGGGCCGCACTCACGCGCCGATGAAAGGGCTGAGGGGAGCACCAACACGCAGATGACCCCATGAAATATAAACGATGTGCGGACACACAGAGGGTCAGACGGTTGAAAGACATTTAAATATCTTTTTAATTTTATTTTTGGACAAAATATGCAGACAATTTCTGGAGCAGCACGGTAGTTGGGTGCCTTTTTTTGTGTGTGAGTTTTTCTTTTTTTCTTTTTTTTTTTTCTTTTCTGTTATTTGTGTGTAGCCGTAACAGAGGACGACCTTTTCCAATTTTTTTCTTTTTCTTCTTTTTTTTATTCTTTCCAAAGTGTGAGGTGTGGAAGGGTGAAGATGAATTTTCGTTTATTTATTTTTATTAAATTTTTAATGAATTGCCGCTGCTTGGGCTGCAGTGCGATATTGTGAGCCTGAGCAGTCTTTTTCTCTTTATTTCTGCCATGCACCTCTGCTGTACAGTTTTGTTTGTGCGTCCCTTCACATGCTCTGCTCCTGTTTTTACTTCTTTGCTTCGTGTGTCTGCAGGCACACACACAACCACATGCACGCACAAAATACACATTGCAGTGGATTTGGATGCTTCTTTTGTAGCGTGTGCTGGCGGTTGCGGGTGGCTGCTGCTTCCTCCGTGGGCATGAAGGGAAGGAGGAGAGAGGGAGCGCGCACCGCGAGTCACTTTTCCTGCGGGTGTGATGCGCGCGGTGGGCTGCGACTGCTGTGGAGGGCCGCATCCTTTCGGTGTGCGCTTCTCCGCCATCGTGCCGTGCGTTTGCGCATGTCATTTGTTGTGCGCGTGCGTGCTGGGCATGTTTTTCCGGAGCGTTGGGCGGCCACCATCTGTCTATGGCGGTTTGTGTGAGTGAGCACGTGCGGATGAGGGTCAGGGCGTATGGAATGAAGGAATGGCTTGAGGAAAGGGGAATTTGATTTGGAGGGTATTTGGACCGGATTCATTTGGCTGCGGTGGACACATGCACGACGGATGCGTTTCCGCATAATGGGGGAGGATGCGACAGGATTTTCCGAAGTGGTCCGTCAGTGCAATTCGGGTTTCATAGCACTGAGGCACAGTGGTCTCCCTGCAATGGCTGGTGGCGGTTCCTAGTGGACCGGTGTATTTATGCCGCTGCTGCAGCTCGAGGAGGCGTGGAAGTGCGATTTGAGGTGAGTGGCGGAAGGGCCACACATCCCGCAGTGACGGTCGTCGTTGGCCCAGCGGGTGCCTCTGAAGGTTTTGTTGGATGCAACGTCCTTATGCCCGTCTCTGGATGGCGACTCCCTGATGCAGTCAATGAACGGGGCTGGGAGCGACGGAGAGACGCAAGCACGTGTGGATGTTCGGAGCGGCCGGCGCACCGCACGCTGAGAGCATGGCACGCTGAGGGCCGGACCTAGAAAAGGGACACCGCGTGGGACGTCAATCCTCACTGCAGCGACCGCCACCGAATTCGGATTTGCTCGCACCTTCTGCGGTCCCTCTTCCTCCCCTCACTTCTGTGCCGAGGACTGTGCCGCGGGATCCAGCAGCGCGATGTTTGGCCGCAGGAGCATGGCTCGAACAAATGCTTTGTGGGAGGGGGATGTGCACTGCGACGAGAAGGAAGAAAATGTTGCGAGACGACCACCACGACAAGACCGGAGTGAAGTTGTGTTTTGTCCACTTGCGCGAGGGCAGCCTGCCACCTGGTCGGTTAGGATTATTATTATTATTTTTTGCGTCGTTGCGCTCTTTTTATATTCCGCTGCGTTTTCATGCGGAACTGCGAAGGGAGATTTGCAAGAAATTTCTGCGAGGCGTCCATGCCGTCGTCGGAAAAGCGGATTACCCCTTGAAAAACGCTACTTTTTAAATTTGTTTTGGGCGGGGAGTTCCTCTCGATTCACTGCGACTTTGTTTTGCGGATTTGATGCGTGTGTTTCCGAGCGGTTCGATCTGTGCTCCCAGCCCACTCGGATGTGGTGTGCGCGTCGACGTGAAGGTGCCTGCCAGCCGTTTTGTTGCCTCCCCCGCTGTGGCTGCCGCCGCTGCCTTCTCTCTTCCTGAGGTCCTGCGGCTTCTTGACAAGATGTCTTGGAGAAGGCGTTGCCGCTCTTATCGTCCATTGTATTTTGATTCTGGTGTCGCGGTCAGGAGACATTGAACGAGAGGGTTTGCTGCCCTTTTGTTTTATTTATCCTCTTTGCCTGACGGCCAGTTCTACACAAACGTGCTCCTCGGCACCTCAGTTGGTGCTGGCGAGTTTGCTCACAGTTGTCACTGGCAATCGCATGCGCCAACTCTTCTCTGCTCCTTTTCAGTGTTGCATTTTCTTATTGATTGACGGACGCCATTCTGTCCGGCGTGCTACTTTGATTGGATTGTGTGGGACTGCTTGACAACGCCATCGGAGAAAGCAGGCCGACTTTTTCACGTATTTAATTGCCACCTTGCGCGCAGGTATTTTTTTCACATGTTCTGTTGATGTGCAGTCAAGCAGCGAGGGATTTGGAACTATGCGTGCGTGGAATTATTCCTGCCATGTGAGCTGCGGGCAACACCGAGGGACTGCCACTTTGACTCCGCAGAGTTGTTGCGTCTCTTTGCAGGGCTGGCAGGAAAATTCCATGCAGCCAGCTACTGCTGGTGTGTCCTCAAATGATGTCACTCCATGCGAATAATGTGCTTCATCGAGTGAGGGTGTTGATTGGGTTTGTGTGCACTCTGATTGTGTTTGCTACTTTGTGCGGGCACGCAACACTTGAGTGCTGGGAGAATGGAGCGGGGCGATGCATGGCTGCGTCTCGCCCATTGTTCACTGCACGGTGGTGTGGTGCACATTGTGGTGTTGACTCTGCGATGTGACTGCGGTCCCCTGCGCGGCAATGGTGGTGGGTGGAGGAGAGTGTTGACCCGCGGCGGGACGGTGGGATCGTGCCTCCTTTTCTCTTTGTTCCTTCCCTTTTGTGAAGGTGTGCACTTATTTTTTGTGTCGGTGATGGAGCAAACAGACCGACAACGTGAATAAAACAAAATAAAAATGGGCGATAATGTGGCGGTGTTGGGGTTGGTTGCACGCCTCGTGTTGCTGCGGGGGCGGTGGGCCTCGGCTGCTTCACCGACAGGCGTTGCAGTGCGGCTGCATGGCGCACTGACCGCCCCGCCGTGCGAGTGCCACGCCCAACGCCATTGGGACTGCGGGACGAAACAGACGCGAGTGTCCTTTGGAGCCCGCGGCACCTGCTGGCCGCAGTTGGGCGGTGCGAGTGGGATGCTTCACCGCACGGGTGTTGTGATGGCACCTCGCCGTGGCTCTTGTGATGGTTCCGACGCTGCAGCTCGACATGTGGTGGGGAGTGAATTGTGGCCGTAGTGGACCATGAGCAGCACCAACGTGAGGCTGAGTGATTTCCTTTGGAATTATGTTGGCGGCAGGGCGGCCGTTGATGAAAGACTACAATGTGATGATGGAGATGTTTGTTCAGGAGCCGGATGATTACGTACAAGACCAGTGGCGTCTTGAAGAAATTCTTAACTTAACTGCGTACCAAGCGCTGGAGGCCATTACTAAGCCTCTTCACGAAGGTGTGCTCTCTCTCGGGCAACGTAGGGACTATGAAAGAAAGGATACGATCACTCCTCTTGCAAGGGGAAAACCAAACGGGGTACTCACGCAGGTACTGACAGAAGCGAGGCGGGAGGCAGAGGGAAGGCTAAGACGAACGGAAGAAATGAAATTTACCATTTCCACTAATATCGAAGATGTACATTTTAAGGGAAGAGCTCGCGTCAATGAAAAGAAGCTGAACGACTTTCTTGCGAGGGAACTGGACGGCAGGGGCATTGTGGACACCAATCGGGATGTCTTGCTGGGGGAGTTTTTCAAGGACCCCACGAAGTATATCCGTGATAAAGGAGCGTTGAACGAAATACAGGCATCAGGGGTCATTATTTGGGTATGAAGCGAGCTGCAAAGGGTGAAGTGATCTTCGGTGAGGATATACGCAAGCTTTGCGATAAGGGTGTCGACAATCTACCGGGGTGGTCGTTAGCTGCTGCGGAGGTAAAAGCAGCTGTTCGTAACTCCACTAAACATTTCTTGGATGCAGCTGCCGAGGAAGCGAGGAACCCAACGACGACGAGCGCACCGGAGAAACTGGAGGGATGCTACGAGTCTGTGCACAATGCGAGGTGGAGCCATGCGGTGGAACTTCCGGACGGCGTGGAGCGAAAGAAAACGAGGACGGGAATGGGGGTGCATGAGGGGAGGCCAGAACAGTCATGGACGTACAAGAAAGCTGACGACGCTATCGAAAAGAATGACGCTGTGCAGCAATCCGGTGCAGCACCTCCCGTGTTGATGGTGCTCGCCTCGGAGAAGGGATGGCCGTACTCGCGGAATACGATGCAGGATCCTCCTAAGGACGTTTTTGTAAACTGTGAGGTGGATCGAGTGTGGCAGATCGTCAAGGGCGATCTAACCGCGTGGTTCAGCCCTCACGGTGGGACCGACTTTAAGCCCGAGCGACGTGTGCTGATTGGGACGCCCGGGATCGGGAAGTCGGTGGCTGTCGGCTCGTACCTCCTCTACCAGCTGCCGCACGACGATGCCGAGAAAATCCAAGTGGTAGTCCACTGTTTTGGTGGAGGAGATGCGTACGTGTCTGACAAAACCACCAGAGCGGTGACAAGATACGGCGATGAGGACATGTGCATCTCGGAGTTGAGAAGTTTGAGGGGGCATGGGAGGAATGTGTATATTATCTACGATGTGGCAAAGGAGGGAACGCCGCCACCGAGACATTTTGCGCCTACTTCTGGATGGGGCATGATTGCGGTGTCATTCCCAAAGGTAACCAACTATGATGAGTGGGCGAAGCAACTACAAGCCGCGCGAACCATCGTGAATTGCCCCGACGAGATGGATGTGAAGGCGATGTGTGCGCCTGGATAACGCGTGATGAGACTAAAGAGAAACAAGCGGAATACTGGAAAGAGGTCAAAAAACACATGTATCTTTTGGGACCGATTCCACGTCACGTCTTTGATGAGGGGGCGTTTAAGGAACGCTGTGGAGCGGTGAGGTTTGCATTGCAATCGATCAACGAGGTAACTGTGAAAGAGCACTTTTCACGGGGAGGTGAGTCGCCATGGTATTCTGAGGATCCGTCCCACAAGCCTGTGAAATTTGTTCGGGAAATATACGCAGGCGGTGTGACCCTTTTCAATGCACCGATATCTGCTTACCTCGAGGAACGAACATTGGAACGTTTCCCAAGTGTAACAAAATAAAATAGCCTTTTGAAGCTGATGTTGGCGTCGAAGGATAATATTTTTGCCATTTTTTTTTGGATGGTTTGCTTTGAATTCGTTCACGGAGAGTGCCTTTGTCAAGGTAATAGCGACGAAACTCACGGAGTTTGAGCCGCCAACAGGACGTCAAGCAAAGCCCTGCGTCTTGAAGTTGGCCCCTGAACCGCATCCCAAGGAAGATGAAGGTTTGCTGCCGAGTGAATATGAAAAAACGATCCGTAAAATAAAGTACGGGGTGCTGTACAAACCGTGGGCCACAAACTTTCCGCTGGTGGACGCCTTTTTTTCTCGGAGCCCAATCCAATGACGGTGGTTGGGCTGCGGATGACTACGACGGGTGGGCACCACACGACCGCCAGCACTGTGCGGCAGTTCACTGAGTGCGTGGCGGCATATTTTAGTGGTTGGAAGGAGTTATCCCGAGACATGTCGTGGGGGATTATTTATGTGCAGCACGCAGGCAGCACGCCGATGACTGGCTGGCAGAGATGTGATGTCGACAATTCCGACAATGTGAGCGACGAGAGCCGTGAGACTCGGTGTTCTGGGAGGAAGAGGTGCGCGAGTACCAAGTGTCAATATCGTGCAGAGACTTTAGAAGAGAAGAAGCTTTCCGAAGTGTGCAAAAAAAAAAATAATAATAATAGGAAAATAGATTAGGAAATTGGAAGTGAACGAGACAGTTCGATTTGTGGTAAAAAATATTGTGGGATTTATGTATTTTTGGATGCTTGTGTCTGAGCGTGCGGTGCGGGTGCACCATCCCCATGCGGCAGCACCGCACACAAATGCCAAAATGTCCAACGCTATCGAACATAACAGTGACAAAAGAAATTAAGGGAGGGAAAGGGGTTGTTTGGTTTCTGGTGAAAAACATTGGGTGATTTTTATATGTTATTTTGATTGTGTGCGCATACGAGGCGTAATTGGAGAATTGCCCCGGTATGAGAGAATCATTGTGGCTGGCGGTGTCACGGCGTTACTGCATTGTCCATTTCCTTCTATTGTGTTCGAAGGCCCATCACTAACAGAAGCATCCTTAAGGGATGGACGAAGAATAAGTTCTATTGAGGAAATGATGCGCTCCGTGTGACCGCATGGAGTGAGGCGCCGCGTTATGGCTGGGTGAGGATCCGTTTCCGCGTGTGGCTCTTTGGGTGATTGCTAGCTCCGTGTGCGTTGTGTGCCGGCAGCGGGCTGTGGCTGTATACCGTTGCCGTGGGATTGAACTGGAGGCGGTGGCGGTGTGTCTCTTCTCGTTCTTGTCCATTTGTGGTTGATTGCTGGCGGTGTGTGCGTTTGTTGTGTGGAGGGCCGAATCCTCTCATCCGCGGACTGATAGCACTGCGATTGCGTGTGTGTGTGTGAGGGCTGGTGTGGAGTCGCTGGCCAGGGTGTGGCCCTTGGCGATGCTTTTCCTGCCTGTCGTTTGTTTCTTTTGTGTGTTTTGTGCTGCTTTTTGCTTTTCTCCTGTCACCCTCTCCTCCTGTGTTCCTGCGTGGAGTGGCCGCATGCTCACGGGCCATGTTGATTGTGAGTGCCTCTTGGCGGCATCCATTCATCTCCCTCTGCCTGTCTGTCTGTCATTCCCTGTTGGGTGTGGCGTGTTGCACCGCGTGAGGGCTGGCCCGCACACACCGACGGCCCGCTGTGACTTGCCGTGTTGCTGCTCTTTTCTGTGGGCGATGGTTCTCTGTGCTGTCCCTTCCGGATTGTCTCGTGTCCCACTCTCTGCGTGGGTGTTGTGCTCTGCTCCTCACTGACCTTTCTGGTGTATTGCCGCTGTTGCTGCTGTACTCTCCACTTCTTGAACACAGACACACTAGGAAGGGAAGAAAACAAGCGCTAAACGCTACTGTGGAATTCGAAGGCTCTGAAAGGACCAACAGCACACACACCGCCCACACACACATATTTATATGCTCTCACGTGTTGCTGCAGTGAAGGCACCCCGCACACACAACCGTCGCCGCGTGACCGGATCCAGCGGAAGGAGGAGGGAAGGAAGAGAGAGTGAGCCGCAGAGGCCCAACATGTCGCGGCGTATGTTTACTTCCGCGGTGCTGCTTCTCCTCGTTGTGATGATGTGCTGCGGCAGTGGAGCTGCACACGCGGAGAACAGTGCTTCAGGGGCAGCACAAGGTCAGGGATCTTCACTGGATAAACATATTGTTTGGAGAGATACGAAAGATGGAGAAACAGTCGATTTGCTCTATGCCCCCAGTCTTGTTGAGGTGAATGGTGTCGTGTTTGCCTTTGCCGAGGCGCTGTTGAAGGATGAAAAAGACTATTTCTTTACTGGGATTGCCTCGAAACTTCTTGAGTTGAGTGACGAAAACCCAAAGAAGCTGGCCACAGATAATTTGAGGACAAAGGCACTGGAGAAATGTCCTTCCCAAGAAGCCAAATGCCCCTCTCAGTCAACGAATTGCGCTGGTTCCCAATGTTTCCACAGCGCACATGTGAGCCGGCCAACAACAGTTGTGAAGGGAAATGACATTTACATGCTTGCTGGAAAATACAACAGGCAAAATGTCGCTGTTTGTCAGGGTGAGGCTGACGCGGCCTCATGGGGTCTTTTGCTGGTAAAGGGGAATGTCAGTGGAGAACAGGCCAAAGAAATTGTTTGGGAAGTTACTGACGATCTCCCGTGCACTTCGATTGTAAAGCTTTATGAATCCTGGGTATTGCTCATTGGAGGCGGTGGATCGGGTATTAAGATGGATGACGATACGCTTGTGTTTCCGTTGGAAGCCGTGAAGGAGGACGGCACTGAAAGTGAAGCAAAGGAAGAAAAGAATAACAACGTTTCGCTGATCCTATACTCAAAGGATACTAAGAATTGGACGCTGTCGAAGGGGATGTCTGCCGATGGCTGCACTGATCCCTCCGTCGTGGAGTGGAGAGAGGGAAAACTCATGATGATGACTGCGTGTGATGATGGCCGCCGCAGGGTGTACGAGTCCGGTGACAAGGGGGATTCGTGGACGGAGGCACTCGGGACACTCTCGCGCGTGTGGGGGAACAACTACAACCGACATGAGAAGGGCGTTAGAGGCGGGTTCATCACAGCGAATATTGACGGTGTTGATGGTGCTAAGAGAACTGTGATGCTCGTTACTCTGCCGGTGTTTTCCAAGAAGGCTGATACAGGAGGCCGTGGAAAAGAAAAGGGCGAACTCCATCTTTGGCTGACGGACAATACGCACGTTGTTGATATTGGGCCGGTATCCGGTGATGATGACGCTGCCGCCAGCGCCCTGTTGTACAAAAGTGGAGATAATAAGGAGGAAGAGAAGTTGATTGCACTGTACGAGAAGAAGGGCGATGGGTTCAGACAATCATCCGGTATGGTCTCTGTGCTTCTGACTGAGCAGCTGAAGCGGGTGAAGGAGGTGCTGGCTACATGGAAGGAAGTGGACGAACGTGTCTCCAATCTGTGCCTCACTTCAAGTGCTACGGTGAGTAAATCAACTGGCACTGCCTGTACTACTGATAAGATCGCGGATGGGCTGGTTGGCTTTTTGTCCGGCAATTTCTCTGATAACACATGGAGGGACGAGTACCTCGGGGTGGACGCCACAGTAAAGAAAGGAACGAATGGGGTGGCAGCAGGGTATGCGGATGGTGTGACGTTCCGGGGAGCGTGGGCGGAGTGGCCCGTTGGCAGTCAGGGGGAGAATCAGCTGTACTACTTTGCAAACTACAACTTCACTCTTGTGGCCACGGTGTCCATCCACGGTGAGCCTAAAAGTGACAGCGTCCCTTTGATGGGTGTGCGTGCAGGCAGTGACGGAGGAAAGAAACTTATGGAGTTGTCGTACGGCAGCGGAAAGAAGTGGCAGGTGCTGTGCAGTGACGGAACAACCAAGAAGCTTAAAAGCACTTGGGATCCACAGAGACAATACCAAGTGGCCATTGTGCTACAGAACGGCAGCCAGGGCTCCGTGTACGTCGATGGCCAGCGTGTGTGTGAGAGTGTGCAAAGTAAATTGGAAACTACAGAATCGAAAGGGATTTCCCACTTCTACATTGGAGGGGATGGAGTCAATGCAGAGAACACGGCGGGTGACGAAGGTGTGTCTGTGACTGTGACAAACGTCCTGCTGTACAACCGCCCGTTGACATTTACTGGTGGGAGTGCCGATTTGGAAGAAGATATTGCGTCACATTCTGAGGCTCCAGTGGAGCAAGCGGCCTTGCAGCAGTCTCGAAAGAAAAGTGAAATACAGCAAGTGCCGGCAGCTTCGAGCTCCCATGCCGTTGGAGAAACAACAGGCGACGGCGGCATTGTGCGTGGGAGCGGACTGCTGCCATTGCTTCTGCTTCTGTTGGGACTGTGGGGGTTTGCGGCTCTGTGAGGAGTGACTGGCTGCCGCGTGGGACACTTGCGACCTCCCGAGCACAGAAATACTATTCCCATAGGAACAAATTTTCCTCATAAAGTCTTTTTTCTTGTGTGTGTGCGTTGTTTACTTTCTTTTTTTAAATCTCTCATCTCCCATCCCCTCTTTTTTGCTTTTGGGGGCAATCACTATGGAACTTTTTTCTTTTTGACTCTTCCCTCTTTTAATTGTTTCTTCTGCACTCTTCGTGTGAGGGGTGCCGTGTGTTTCCCGCCCAACTGCTCCACTCGCACACCCACCGACACGCTCATGACGACGGCCCTGTGCGCCTCGCCTGCTGCACGCGTGTGGAGGGGCCGCGACGAACGGCGCGCTGAGGGAGCCGTGACGTGTGGGCGTGCGACGAGGGCCTGTGGGGCGGAGCACACATTTCTTTCCCTCTTGTTTTGTTTCTTTGCGGCCAGGGCGGGCAGACACCCGCAGCGCCACACACACACAGCCACACCCTGCCGCTGTAAAAAAAGGATTTTTGATTGCTTTATTTGACTTTCTCACTGTTTTATTATTATTATTATTATTATTTGGGTGTAGCCGTAGTAGAGGACGACTTTTTTTCCTTTTCTTTTTTTCCTTTTTTTTTTTTTTTTTTTTTTTTTTTTTTTTTCATTCTTTTCAAAGTGTGTGGTGTGGAAGGGTGAAGATGAATTTTTGTTTATTTATTTTTATTTAATTTTTTAATGAATGGTCGCTGCTTTTTCTGCAGTGCGATATTGTGAGCCTGAGCAGTCTTTTTCTCTTTATTTCTGCCATGCACCTCTGCTGTACAGTTTTGTTTGTGCGTCCCCTCATATGCTCTGCTCCTGTTTTTACTTCTTTGCTTCGTGTGTCTGCAGGCACACACACAACCACATGCACGCACAAAATACACATTGCAGTGGATTTGGATGCTTCTTTTGTAGCGTGTGCTGGCGGTTGCGGGTGGCTGCTGCTTCCTCCGTGGGCATGAAGGGAAGGAGGAGAGAGGGAGCGCGCACCGCGAGTCACTTTTCCTGTGGGTGTGATGCGCGCGGTGGGCTGCGACTGCTGTGGAGGGCCGCATCCTTTCGGTGTGCGCTTCTCCGCCATCGTGCCGTGCGTTTGCGCATGTCATTTGTTGTGCGCGTGCGTGCTGGGCATGTTTTTCCGGAGCGTTGGGCGGCCACCATCTGTCTATGGCGGTTTGTGTGAGTGAGCACGTGCGGATGAGGGTCAGGGCGTATGGAATGAAGGAATGGCTTGAGGAAAGGGGAATTTGATTTGGAGGGTATTTGGACCGGATTCATTTGGCTGCGGTGGACACATGCACGACGGATGCGTTTCCGCATAATGGGGGAGGATGCGACAGGATTTTACGAAGTGGCCCGTCAATGCAATTCGGGTTTCATAGCACTGAGGCACAGTGGTCTTCCTGCAATGGCTGGTGGCGGTTCCTAGTGGACCGGTGTATTTATGCCGCTGCTGCAGCTCGAGGAGGCGTGGAAGTGCGATTTGAGGTGAGTGGCGGAAGGGCCACACATCCCGCAGTGACGGTCGTCGTTGGCCCAGCGGGTGCCTCTGAAGGTTTTGTTGGATGCAACGTCCTTATGCCCGTCTCTGGATGGCGACTCCCTGATGCAGTCAACGAACGGGGCTGGGAGCGACGGTGAGACGCAAGCACGTGTGGATGTTCGGAGCGGCCGGCGCACCGCACGCTGAGAGCATGGCACGCTGAGGGCCGGACCTAGAAAAGGGACACCGCGTGGGACGTCAATCCTCACTGCAGCGACCGCCACCGAATTCGGATTTGCTCGCACCTTCTGCGGTCCTTCTTCCTCCCCTCACTTCTGTGCCGAGGACTGTGCCGCGGGATCCAGCAGCGCGATGTTTGGCCGCAGGAGCATGGCTCGAACAAATGCTTTGTGGGAGGGGGATGTGCACTGCGACGAGAAGGAAGAAAATGTTGCGAGACGACCACCACGACAAGACCGGAGTGAAGTTGTGTTTTGTCCACTTGCGCGAGGGCAGCCTGCCACCTGGTCGGTTAGGATTATTATTATTATTTTTTGCGTCGTTGCGCTCTATTTTTATTCCGCTGCGTTTTCTTGCGGACCTGCGAAGGGAGATTTGCAAGAAATTTCTGCGAGGCGTCCATGCCGTCGTCGGAAAAGCGGATTCCCCCCTTGAAAAACGCTACTTTTTAAATTTGTTTTGGGCGGGGTGTTCCTCTCGATTCACTGCGACTTTGTTTTGCGGATTTGATGCGTGTGTTTCCGAGCGGTTCGATCTGTGCTCCCAGCCCACTCGGATGTGGTGTGCGCGTCGACGTGAAGGTGCCTGCCAGCCGTTTTGTTGCCTCCCCCGCTGTGGCTGCCGCCGCTGCCTTCCTCTCTTCCTGAGGTCCTGCGGCTTCTTGACAAGATGTTTTGGAGAAGGCGTTGCCGCTCTTATCGTCCATGGTATTTTGATTCTGGTGTCGCGGTCAGGAGACATTGAACGAGAGGGTTTGCTGCCCTTTTGTTTTATTTATCCTCTTTGCCTGACGGCCAGTTCTACACAAACGTGCTCCTCGGCACCTCAGTTGGTGCTGGCGGGTTTGCTCACAGTTGTCACTGGCAATCGCATGCGCCAACTCTTCTCTGCTCCTTTTTAGTGTCGCATTTTCTTATTGATTGACGGACGCCATTCTGTCCGGCGTGCTACTTTGATTGGATTGTGTGGGACTGCTTGCCAACGCCATCGGAGAAAACAGGCCAACTTTTTCACGTATTTAATTGCCACCTCGCGCGCAGGTATTTTTTCACATGTTCTGTTGATGTGCAGTCAAGCAGCGAGGGATCCGAAACTATGCGTGCGTGGAATTATTCCTGCCATGTGAACTGCGGGCAGCACCGAGGGACTGCCACTTTGACTCCGCAGAGTTGTTGTGTCTCTTTGTAGGGTTGGCAGGGAAATTCCATGCAGCCAGCTACTGCTGGTGTGTCCTCAAATGATGTCACTCCATGCGAAGTAATGTGCTTCAGCGATTGAGGGTGTTGATTGGGTTTGTGTGCACTCTGATTCTGTTTGCTACTTTGTGCGGGCACGCAACACTTGAGTGGTGGGAAACTGGAGCGGGGCAATGCATGGCCGCGTCCCGCCCATTGTTCACTGCACGGTGGTGTGGTGCAAATTGTGGTGTTGACTCTGCGATGTGACTGCGGTCCCCTGCGCGGCAATGGTGGTGGGTGGAGGAGAGTGTTGACCCGCGGCGGGACGGTGGGATTGTGCCTCCTTTTGTCTTTGTTCCTTCCCTTTTGTGAAGGTGTGCACTTATTTTTGGTGTCAGTGATGGAGCAAACAGACCGACAACGTGAATAAAACAAAATAAAAAAGGGCGATAATGTGGCGGTGTTGGGGTTGGTTGCACGTCGCAGCGCAGCGGGAGCGCATCACGGACTGCATGTGCTGGAAAGGCGTGTGTTGAAGTGAGCGTGGCGTGCCTGTGAGGGCCTGAGGAGTGAGAATAACGGTAATAGTGACTGTGGGAGTGTGAGGAACGGGACACGGGCGAAGAGCGCTCCTCTTTTGTTTTTATTGTTTTTGGACCACGCCCACTTAATTGTTGTTGTGGTGCGTGACTCTCATCGCTGGATGGGACGGTGCGTGGCTGTGTGACTTGTCTCTTTTTTGCTTTTACTCTGCGTTGACGGGGAGTTAGTTTGTGCTGAAGGCTGCACGCAAGTGACAGGAGTGATGGCGATGATGATGACTGGCCGTGTGCTGCTGGTGTGTGCCCTCTGCGTGCTGTGGTGCGGTGCGTGCTGTGGTGCGGTGCGGGCTGTGGTTTTGCAAATGAGGATAGGGCAGGTCTTTGGAGTGGTGGTGGACCTCTGCTGCAATCACAAGAACTTGAAACGCCTCTACAATTCACGCAAGAATTAAGACGTGGAGCAGGAGGTGTTAAAGGAAAAGTACTTCCAAATCTCCAGAAGATGAAGTTGAAAAAGATGAAGATGAAGACGGTGAAGAAGAAGAAGATAGTGAAGAGAATGACGAAGATGCAGGGGCGGAAGATGGAGAAAGAAAAAGTATAGAAAGGCAGAGTGTACAAGAAGGAACAGTTTTAATAGGCTCAGGTTCCAGGGAAAAGAATTTAAGTGGGAGTGATCAGGAAATACACCAGTCAATTGTATCTGCAGAGGGCATTTCTCATTCCGGCAGTCGGGAATCAAATGTCAATCCTACGCAAACGGAGATGGAAGAAAAGAAGGAGCCCGACGAAAATACACCTGCAGTAGAGGACGCACTCACACAAGGTAACGGAGAGAACACACTGCCTGGGGGCATTGCGGGTGGAATTCCTCCACCACCTCCAGAAGACAGTGTTGATTCCCGCGAAAAGGATGGCGAAGACACCACGAGTGAGGGTAAAAAAAATGTTCCGTTGCCTGACACCGCGGCCACACCACAAAGCCACCGAGACAAAGGCTCAGAAGGGACTGGGGAAGATACAAAAGCAACGACAGTAACCGCAAACAAAACAGATACGACGAATAAACAAAACAGCGACGGCAGCACCGCGGTCTCCCACAACACCTCCCCTCTTTTGCTTCTTCTTGTTGTTGCGTGTGCGGCTGCTGCTGCGGTGGTGGCCGCGTGAGAGTGAGGGAGAGAGCGCCATGCACCGCCCGCACACACACTCGTCCTTCTCTCACTCTGTGTGTGTGTCCCCTTGCATGGACTCTCGCCCTCACCTCACCCCACGAGGCACACACATAATGTGCCCATTGTATATATGCATGCACACCCATGCATGCCCGTTGGTGCTCTCTTTTGCACCACACGCACCGCTGCCGTCCTGCCTGGCTGCATGGGCGGAGCACCGTAACTGTTTTTGTTTTTCCATTGCATTGAGTGGGCGACCTCTCTCTCTCTCCCTGTGTGTGTGTTTTGCTTTACGGGAGCAATGAGAGTTTGTGTGCTGGTCGTCCCACGCTTCGGCTTTTTTTATCGTTTTACTTGTGTTGTGGTTGAGTGTACCCATTACCTTTTTTTCTTTCGATTGGCGGTTTGCTTTGACTGCGGACGCCTAAATTGTCTTTTTGTATTTTTTTTTTCTTTTGAGTTATTGTCAGTGTCATTCTCTTGTATCCTTGTGACGCCACCAAGTTTTTTTCTTTGACATACGCCATGTGTCGGTTGATCCACGTTAACCCTACGGTCTGCAGTGCTGCTGGTGCTTCTGTTTGTGATGATGTTTTTGATGTTGTTCTGGCAGGTGCTTTGCTGCCAGCCTGACGTACTCCTGCTCCTCTGACAAAGCGATGCGTGCCGACAGGGCAAAGTCGATCCCGGCTGTGGTGAGGGACGCGCCTTTTGGATCTGAGGGTGCGTCGCAGACATGCACCGTCATTGGGAGGAATGGACGGGCGCCCACCCGCATCAATGTGTCGACAAGGGACCTGGATGGTACCAGGAAGTATTGCAGCTCGGAGCGGTAGTACGCAATGAATTCATTGGTGGCAATTGCGAGTGTGAAGGTGACGTTTTTCTATGCTGAGAAAAGGGAAATGTTTGTTTCGTTATACTTTGCTGCCACTGTTCTTTAATGGCCTGCGGGCTGTCCGTAGCGATGCGGCCAGTTTTTCCGTCTTGAAAGGTGCTGTCGTGCGAGAGGGTGTGTTCCCAAATAGTCGATGCTCAGTTTTCGAGGACGGCGGTATTCCCACAGCATGTGCGGCAGGGCCTCCCGTGGATTGTCGGGGCTCAGCGGCTGGTGGGGATTGCAGCAGAGGAGTGGCTGAAGGGCTACGGCTGTCATTGGAGCTTGCAGAGGTGCGTTGTCCGTCTTTTGCTCGTTGATACGCCTGACATTTTTGGTAGTGACCTGCGCGTGAGGCACTTGTTGGGGAGACCGTGGAGCTGTCGCAGGATCCACGTGTGAGGCCTTCTGCAACGATTGGAGTGCCAGGGTTAATGCGTCGGGCGTGTACCTTCATATTGTGGATGGACGAGAAGACGCTGCTGCAGCTTGGGCAGGGCGACGTCGATCCGCTGCTCGTCATTCTACGAGGAGGTGCCGTGGACACGCCAGGTGGAGGTTCCGGAGGAGGTCGGGGCGGTCCTGCCTCTTCAGTGTGAGGAAGGGATGGCACCACCGACATAAAGGGTTGCTTGTAATCTGCAGGGCGCGTGCCGGTCTGCCGAGGAGTGGGCAGGAGGACGTCCATCAGCCGCTTGCTGGTCGGCAAGGAGTGGCGGTGCTCACGTCGGGAAGATGTTCCGGTGGAGGCAGAGCACAGACGCGGTCCCAACAGCAACGCAGCACAGCCGATCCCAGAGGGCAGGGACGTGGCGCCGCCATGCCTCGGGGTATCACAGGCCTTGGCTCGAGAGGGCACCAAGCTGTTTCGCACGGACCTCTGACAGCATGGAGAAGCCACGGTGGAGGGCATGATTGCGGTCCTTCCGTTTGCGGAGCATTTCAGCTCGGGGCAGGCTGCCGCTGCAACACACTCGACCTGCTACATTCCGTCCGTCCAGATTCCTGTGGGACTGCCATGACTGCCGCTCGTATGGTGCCTCGGTGCATCTCAAACCATGCGGTCAAAGCGGCCAGAGACGTTCCACACGCCGAGGTGGAAGCATCACAGTCAGCTTCACGCAGGACAACGGCGACATGTTTCCGTCGTGGCAGCATGCCTGCCTGTCGCGGGATGCCGTCCTCCGTCCCTGCAGTGTGGGATGGCAGATGGTGGTCCGAGTCCATGTAAACGGGTGGACGTTTAGTGGGAGACACGCAGTACGCGTTGCGCAGTCACGTCGGGAAACGAGACGCTGCGGCCGCTGCTCCACTTTGCCTGTGCCGGGTCGTCGGACAGCTCAATCTCCATGTCGCTTGGGGTGGCGGCGAGGTCCTCTCCTGCCGTCGTGGAGGGTGAGCAACCGTCCCGCAGCTCATGGTGTGAATTCAGGTCGCAAATAACCGCTTCGGGGCCTAAGCGACGAATGTTGCTCGCAAAGTGAGCAGCGTGAGCCATTGCCGTGGGAAGGCTGCAGAGGTTCACCACGTACATGCTGGGGCTGGCCGGTGGGCACACGCGGAAGGCAGTGGTCTCCAGGCATTTGGTGCCACGAGCAACAAGCTCTCGCACGGCAAGGTGTGGCGCACCAAGAAGGCCACGCCACCGGCATGCCCACTGCAGGCCTGGTGGAAGTCACCGCAGCCAATGAGCCTCGTCGCTGGGGCACTCTCGTGCCTGCACTCCTGCAGAAGAACCATGCCGGGATGTTGCTGCGCCAGTCGAGCAGCGAAGGGCAATCCTGAAGGGCGAATGGCCTGAAGTTCTGAGCTGCCAGATAACTACGAGGCCATCCTCATAGGGGCTGCGGCTCTTGCGGACACCACCGCAGTGGGTGATGCCGACGGAGTGACCGCACTGAAACGACTGTGCGGTTCTGTCAGTCGGGCTGCAGGCAAACCGCCTCGCCGCTCCACAACTGACAGTGCACGGGACCTTCTCGAGGGGTGACGCCGTCGTGGTCCCCATCACGCTCGCAGCAATGCCCTGCCGCAATCACTCCCACAGAGAGACAAGGAAGAGTGTGTGGATGTGTGCCGAGAGCACAGCGACTGTCATCGTCAGAGGAGGCCATCGTGGCACCGTCCGTCACGCGCCAGCACACACCGAGCAACGCCCGCACCCGGCAGTGCAAATACAACGAGGAGAGGAGAATGTCCCCAAGAGCAGTCAAGACCTTCACGCATAGCGGGCATCGTGCGGCCACGTCATCATTCCAGCACGGGACGCAAGCCAACGCCCTGCGGTTGCCAAAGCAGTCATGCAGAGCACTGTGCAAATACTTCCGTGTGTTTGCTGGAAGAGAAGAAAAAGAAAAAAAAAGGAGCACAGGGAGGCACATCATCAGCGCAGCAAGAGGCACAGCTGGATGGCAGCGGTACATGCGGTACGGCCCCAACCTCAACAATCACACACGGTGGCAGCACACACCTATCCACAAAAAACAAAACAAAACGAAAACAAAACAGAAGAAAAACACGGCGGCAGGGTGTGGCTGTGTGTGTGTGGCACTGCGGGTGTCTGCCCGCCCTGGCCGCAAAGAAAGCAAAACAAGAGGGAAAGAAATGTGTGCTCCGCCCCACAGGCCCTCGTCGCACGCCCACACGTCACGGCTCCCTCAGCGCGCCGTTCGTCGCGGCCCCTCCTCATGCGTGCAGCAGGCGAGGCGCACAGGGCCGTCGTCATGAGCGTGTCGGTGGGTGTGCGAGTGGAGCAGTTGGGCGGGAAACACACGGCACCCCTCACGGGAAGAGCGCAGAAGAAACAATTAAAAGAGGGAAGAGTAGAAAAGAAAAAACGTCCATATTGATTGCCCCAAAAAGCAAAAAAGAAGAGATGAGAGATTTAAAATGCAAAAATTAATAACAGAAAAAGACTAGCAAAAGATTTTAAAGCAAACAGATAAAAAAATCAAAACACACGTAAAACAATAAAAGAAAAAAACAAGCGTGGGACGACCAGCGCACACACTCTCATTGCTCCCGTAAAGCAAAACACACACACAGGGAGAGAGAGAGAGGTCGCCCACTCAATGCAATGGAAACAAAACAAAAACAGTTACGGTGCTCCGCCCATGCAGCCAGGCAGGACGGCAGCGGTGCGTGTGGTGCAAAAGAGAGCACCAACGGGCCTGCATGGGTGTGCATGCATATATACAATGGGCACATTATGTGTGTGCCTCGTGGGGTGAGGTGAGGGCGAGAGTCCATGCAAGGGGACACACACACAGAGTGAGAGAAGGACGAGTGTGTGTGCGGGCGGTGCGTGGCTCTCTCTCCCTCACTCTCACGCGGCCACCACCGCAGCAGCAGCCGCACACGCAACAACAAGAAGAAGCAAAAGAGGGGAGGTGTTGTGGGAGACTGCGGTGCTGCCGTCACTGTTTTGTGTGTTCGTCGTATCAGTTGTGTTGGCGGTTACTGTCGTTGCTTTTGTATCTTTCCCAGTCCCTTCTGAGCCTTTGTTTCGGTGGCTTTGTGGTGTGGCTGCGGTCGCAGGCAACGGTACATTTTTTTCGCCCTCACTCGTGGCGTCTTCGCCATCCTTTTTGCGGGAATCAACACCTTCTTCTGGAGCTGGTGGAGAATTTCCTCCCGCAATGCCCTCGGGCAGTGTGTGCTCTCCGTTAACTGTTGTGAGTGCGTTCCCTACTGCTGGTGTATTTTCGTCGGTGTCCTTATTTCCTTCATCTTCCGGTTGCGTAGGATTGGTTTTTGATTCCTGATTGTCGGAAGGAGAAATGCCCTCTGGAGATACGATTGGCTGGACTGTTTTCCTCTCACTACCACTTAAGTTCTTTTCCCTGGAATCTGAGCCTATTGCAACTGTTCCTTCTTGAACACTCTGCCTTTCAGTAATGTTTTCTTTTTCCGCTTTTGTCTCTCCATCATGTTCATCTTCATCATCATCATCATTATCATCATCTTCATCAGCTTCCTCTATAACTACGGGAGTTAATTTTTCTTCTCCACCTGGTGCTCTATTTTGTGACCCTTGGGTATCTTGTGGAGAAGTTTCAACTCCTTTTGATCCCAGCAGAAGGTCAGCACCACTCCCACGACCTGCTGTCTCCTCCTCGTCAGTACAGACACCGCCGGCACTACACCACAGCACGCAGAGGGCACATACCAGCAGCACACGGCCAGTCATCATCATCGCCATCACTCCTGTCACTTGCGTGTAGCCTTCAGCACAAACTAACATCCCCGTCAACGCAGAGTGAAAGCAAAAAGGGAGACAAGGCTGCTACGCCACGTACAGTGACAAATGGCAGGAGCAGCACACACTATGGGGCAGTTGGAACCAGTAAAAAGGCAAAAAACACACACCGCCCCGCAAATCAGAAATTTAGAAGAAATAAAAAATGAGTTAATATTACGGCAATACTCCCGGAAAGAATGAAGAAAATAGATTAGGTCGTAATTTTATTTCATGTGCCATGCAGCACAATAATAGACGACCGTATGTTTGTGTATACATCTTCCCCGCAAAAATAGCAGAAAATAATATGAGAAAAGAAGAGATCCTGCTGCTCCACCAGCCCACACAACACCCTTCACATTTCATTGCGGCATCCGGCGTGTTCCTCCAGTCCTCGTACGTGCAGTCCGTGGGACGCACAGCAGTGAGGCCGGCACCGCGACTGGATAAAAAAGAAAACAAGATGGAAAACACGTCACTCATAATGATGTGTAGAGCAGTTAAACAGCCATTGGGAAAACACAAAGATAATTATTATTCCAATAAAATACAAGCAGCAAAAAAAAAGAAGAAAAAAAAATTAAAATGAGCTCCTTTACAACATTCGGTAAGCCCCAGCGATGGAGTCGCACCCTGTCGCGTTGCTGGGGCTCTCGTTGCATATAGGAACGTCGCTGCGCTGCATCGCTGCGAGCACGACGGAGACCAAGACGACTTCACCCCTCGAGAAGGTTCCACGCCATGCCCGGTGTGGGGAGGTGAGGCGGTCTGCCTGCAGACTGTCGGACAAAACTGCACGACCGTTTCGCTGCGGTCACTCCGTTGATATCACCCGTTGCGGTAACGTCCACAAGAACCCTGGCACCGAGGAGGATGGCCTCATCACTGTTTGGCAGCTCAACATTGCAGGCCTCTCGTCCGTAAAAAAGATTGCATCCGCTGCGCGACTGGAGCAGCATCCACCTGTCATCGTTCTTCTCCAGGAAACAAATACTCGAAGTGCCACAGCGGCAAAACTATATGGCCATAATGGCTTTCTTCAGGCCCGCACTGGGTGCGGTGGTGGTGTTGTCACTCTGGTGCGCCACTCTCTGCCGTGCGAGCGCCTGACGCTCCCTGGCACTGACCTCCTGGAGACCATTGCTGTCCGTGCAACTCCACCGGGCTGTCCCAGCATCTGCGTGGTGAATCTCTACAGCCCTCCCACAGCTACCGTTCAGAGCTTTTCGTTTATTACTGCCATTCGTCGCTCAGGCCCCGCAGCAATTATCGCGGGTGACCTGAATTTACATCATGGACTCTGGGACAGGCACCTACCTTCAACGACTGAAGGAGAGGATTTGTCCTCTACTCCAATTGACATGGATTTTGGGTTGGCAAATGACCCGGCGCAGGCAACACGGATCACAAATCGTAATGTCTCGTTCCCTGACGTGACTGCGTATCGCGTGCTACGTGTCACCCACTGGCAATCCACCCCCTACATGGATTCCGACCACTGCTTAATATCTTACTCGGTGGGGTTGGATGATGGCATTCCGCGACCAGCCAACACGCTGCCTCGGCGGGAGAAAGCCACCTCTGCCCTGCGTAAGGCGGACTGGCCTGCTTTTACCTCGTTGTGTGAAACACTTCTTGCCGCCGCGTCCACATGGTTGGACATTCGCAGTGGTATCTTACGAGCAGCTGAGCGCCATATCCCGCGCGGCAGCGTGACAGCCCAAAACAATCTGGAGAAACGAAATGGAACAAGCCGAGTCCGCCGCAGAAGCAGCACAAAAAGCACACACATTGCCTCGCCCGGAGACAGCCTGCTTCGAGCCAAATTCATCCAAAAAGTGGAGGACTAATATCAAGCCTTACGCCGTGGCTTCACTACAATTCTGGAAGCCCGTGTGGAAAAACTTGAGGCCTCATCCAGCCCAAGCTGGCGATATCTTCGCGGCGTGGCGGCGCCGCACCCTCATCCACTAGAATCGGTTGTGCTCCGAACTGATCTTCGGACCGCGTCTGTGTCCTGCCTTGGCAACAGGCAAATCTGCTTGTTCGTCATTTTGTGCGGGTCTCACGTGCCACATTACCTTATACTGCTGCTGCTGCTGCCGCGCTCCCTTGCCCCCTTGTGACTGGGAAATGGATCGACCTCTCACGCCGTATGAGCTTGACGTGACCATCCGCGACTCTTCGCTCGGCTCAGCCCCTGGCCACGACAACATGTTGAATGAGTTCCTGCACCATCTCGGGCCCGTCGTACGTGGCACACTCTTAGAACGATGATCCACAACTCCTTCGCAAATGGCAGCCTGCCTGGCTCCTGGAATACGGTGGAAACTATTCCCATTCCAAACCTGGGAAGGGCCATTCCGCCCAGAGAGTTAGAGACCTATCAAATCACTCTCTGCTTTACTACACTGAAAGAATGATTCACCGCCGTCTGTCAGCGTTATTGCCGCACCATCAACGTGAATTCGGATTTACACCTTCGCGTTCAACATCGGACGTGGTGACACTTGTTATTGGTAAAATTACCCGTGGATTGAATGAGTTTAGCACTGTGGAGTATGAGCGCCCTGGAGGCGGCGCTCCCACACGGCACCCTCGTCGCCATCGCTCGCTTGTGACCTTGATTGATTTTTCGACTGTGGTCGACACCACTGACCATGGGAAATTATTCGGCATGCCTGACAGACTCCCGCGCCTTGGCCACCGAACCAAACACTGGCTGCACAATTACCTGCAGGGCCGCCGTGTTAGGGTATGCACTCGCGAACAGCACTCCCGGAAACAACTCGCCTCAGCTGGAGCACCACAAGGCAGCGACCCGGGACCCCAACTCTTCCTCCACTGTGTGGATGATCTGCTGCGCCGCCTGGACAACATCTATTCTGCCGCCGCACTCATGCACGCTGACGAACTCACACTTGTTGCCTCAGGTGCGGGCATCCATGCATGTGCTGCGGCAATGCAACCCGCCCTGTCACTTATAACGACATGGGCTGCCGAGCACAGCCTAAAAATCAACGTTGATAAGAGCGAAGCTGCTCTATTCCACATCTCTTCACACACACGGTCTGACAAGGACATGGTCTATCTCCTTCCTGGCAATGGGAACCTACATATTCAGTCCCGCCCAGTGCGGTTGCTGGACCCCACGGTTGAACAAATCCTTAATTTTGGTACGCACGCTTCCACCGCTGCAAAGCGGACCATGCCACGCCGTTACCAATTACGGCCGGTCGCACAGACTGCTGCGTCCCATCACACCATGCAATCCTTTTCGATTGGATACGTCCATGGTGTGTCACTATATTGTGGCGAGTCAATTCTCCCGTGCCTCGCCTACACCTACTTCCATAATATGGAAGTACTGTACCGCGACAGTTGTACAACATCCCTTGGCATTAGCGCACCAACGGAGGATAAATCGGTATACTTGGAAGCTAATCTCCTTCGGCTCCGGAAGATACTCTGGCTCCGTGCAATCACACAACACAAACGCCATGCACGTTTCCATAATCACGAGGATTTGCGCTCCCTTATATGCTCGGAACTTATGCCGTTGTCCATGCATAGGAAAGCGGCGACATCAATCCCGCTTTCGAAAGATGCCGTTATTAATGGATTAGAACGCGTATGTGGCACTATTGGGATACCACACAACCACAATCACGATCCTCCCATTACTCAACATCGAATTATTCCCCGCGACACTGTGAGTTGCAATAAAGTGGAATTTAATCAACCACTCTTTGCCAACGACGCCTCTGACGATGGCAAGCGCACGGATTTTGATTCCCTTTACTCCTCTCTAGAATATTATATTTTTGAATTATGGACAGACGGTTCTTCATCCCTCGCTGAACTCGCATCTGGATCCGCTGCACCATTATACGGCCCCAAAAAGAAAAATGATCTCCCTGTGGAGGTCCATCGTGCAGCAGCTGGCAGAATCGCATGCTCATATAGAGCAGAGTGCCTGCCACTGAAAATTGCCTTAGACATCTCATACCTCGTCGTCTGGAAACATCCCAATCGCCCACACGAGTCCTGGTTGCTACAAAGTCCCTTTCGGCAATTGAGGCACTCCGCGCTGCCCCACTGGCCATGCGAGAATGCGTTGCTGAAGAGATTTGGGTTATGCTGCTTTCCTTGGTGAAGCGAGTTCACCCTGCAGAATTTATACCTTGTCCATCGCACTGCGGTATCCCACGCAATGAGGCCGCTGACGAAGAAACCACGATTGCACGATCCCTGCAGCAATGAGGTATCCCAACCTGGCACGTGGAATTCCTTGCCGCCGCCAAGAGGTTATACTGGAAGGAAGTAGAGGAGGAAGAAGAAGTCGTGAACCGCACGCCAGGCGCTCGTCGGTGCAACAAAAAAACATTCCTAGTGTCCAGGCAAACATCGGGCATCGAATCGCGACTTTGTGCGCAGGTGCGATGCAACTCCTGCCCACTCCTCGGCATACTGGCACGCGCCCTGCAGATCACAAGCAACCCTTTATGTCGGTGGTGCTGCCCTCCCTCACTGAAGAGGCAGGACCGCCCC